ATAAAATAAAATAAAATAAAATAAAATAAAATAAAATAAAATAAAATCAAAAAAAAAATTTAATTAAATAAAATAAAATAAACCACAATAAAATAAAATATAATTAAATAAAATAAAAAATATTATTTAACTTAAATAATTTGAAAAAATAATGCAAAGAAAATAAAATAGAAAATTTAGTTTTAATAAAATAATAAATATATTTATTTTTTATTATTTTTTTAATATTATAGAATAAATTACATCTATACAATAAAATTATAAATATAATGCAAATAAAATAAAATAAAGTAAAATAAAACAAAATTACTACGGAAAATAAAAATTAAATATCAAACTGAATAAACTAAAATAGAATAAAATAATACAAAATAAAGTAACAAAATAAATTAAAACTAAATCAAATTCAATAATATGAAAAAAATGTATATAAAATAAAATAAAATATTGCATAGACTAAAATAGATTAATAAATTCAACAAAATAACATAACATATTGAATAAAATAAAACAAAGTAACAGAAAAAAAAAATAATTAAAATTTCATAATAAAAAAAAAATAATATTAAATAGATATAAAATAGATATAAAATACAATAATGTTTAAAGGAAGTAGCTCGCGGATGCCTTTACTTTGCTTAACGTTGAAAATTGATGACAATTTCCGCCCCAAATAATTACTTGCACATATTATTTTTATTCACCCTTATCTTCCTCTCCCTCCTAGGCTGTTTTGGCATCACGCTCTCGCGTCTTTGCCAAAATGCTCTACTCGGCACCATCACCGCAACGTAAACGTGAAACTTCGACAAAAGAGAATAAATTGCGGCTTTTCCTCAAACGTTCTTCCGAACCACTGTTGAATCTACAAAATGCGGCACAACAGGTTGGTATTATAGTGGGTGGAGTGGTGTGGTTAAAAGCGACAGGCAGTCACTTATTAATTACAGTGTACAACAAAATTAAATGAATAAAACAAATATACGAATGTGGCGTAGCAATTATGAAAGTATTAGAGCACCTTTGTTTTTTTTCCCAAAAATCTATTTCACTGGATTTGGAATTTTTCATAATGTACTGCATTCTACTGGTGGGGGTTGTAAAAAATTTGTAATGCGCCATATTGTAGCGACGGTCATCATAGATTCACAATGAAACTGAATACAAATAATTGTACTATGGGCAGAACTCAAGGAGTGCAGCAAATTTCAAATGAATAAGTCAGCAAATTTGACCAAAACAAGGGTTAAAACGACCAATACCGGCGAAAAATACTGGGTTCAAATGTTCCACAAAAATATTACTATAGACCTTTATAGACAATATTATTGGTTAATATAGTTTTTTACGATATTCTTACTATCACTATGCTAGAGCTCTTCTTCTTTCATAATTGCCATAGCATTAACGTGTCTCTGTTTGGCTGCTGCACAGTGGAATATACAATACATCTACATACATATACACATATACATATGCCTATAAGTATGTACATATATATATACATGTAAAAAAGGATATACGTATGTATAATATGTTCAACTTGTGTGAGCGTGTGACGACATCCTTATCACTTGCCCAAATATTTGCGCATTTCCACTTTCATCATCCCTCAATGCACATACCCAGAGAATTTACATTTCGTGTAAAATATTGTTTGTATTTCATCCACTGTGAGTGTCTGTAATATTCCGAGTGTAATAATGTTTCCTGCCCTTGCACAAATTAACTAAATTGTAATCAGACAAGAAATATGTTTCCTTTAATTACTCCTATCACCTATTTGGCTGCAAGTCGTAGATGCTATACATTTTTTTGAGGAAAAAATCCTATCCTATTATGGAAATATGTATTGCCCATCCATTGGTTTTAATGCATTTGTGTTCAGACAGATAAAATAAAAAAATAAAAAAAATACAACCACATCGACAACCTAGGCCTTTATAATGCATACCAACTTCGTACAGTTTATATTCCCTGAGGTGCAGATGGCTTCTTTGTATGAAAGATTTAGGAGTGAGTAGGAAAATAAGTAGCGATATAGAATGACATTGGAATGAAAGGTCATTGGAGCACATTGCAATGCTAAACACATTTCCATGCCATAAAAGCTTTGCCTACCGACTAGATCAAACCAAAGACGGAATAACCACAAACCCCTCAAGAAATTCCCAGGCCTCAGTATACTATTTACCACTCGCTGTACTGCATCGCAAAAGCCTACCCGACAGATCTGTTAAGAATGAGTAAGAAAAACAGCTAAAAAAATCTCGACTGTCTGCGTAGGTCACTGGCACTTAAGCGGACATGCCCAAAGGATCGGCATGCATTTCAATAGGTTCCGCCGCGGCTGCAAAGTCCCGGGTTCGGCAGCTGGAATCTACCAACAAACATTTAGGTTTGAGCTTAACTTGAGGTCAAGCTGAGAACTAAGGAATTTCTTACATCTCATACGTTGTTTTTCCAATATACATTTCTAAAAAGCAAATGAAAAAAAAATATATATATTTTTTACGTAATAAAATCTAAACTAAAAAAAATATTTTAAAAAATATATATCCTTTTTAAAAATAAAAAAAAAACTGTCATCAGGTATGTAACTTGAGAATAGAAATCGCTGCATCTTTTAGGCGCATCAATATTACATAGTTACATCCCGAGCTAATAAAAGGAAGGTAATAATAAAAAGCTCTCTCACTCACCACTCGTGGTTAAAAGCTATTTTGAGAGAAAGCACTTGTATATGATTTAGCTCACTTTGGCCGAGTGAGCAAAGCGCGCAGCGGAAGTGTTTCTTTTATAAGTTTTAATTTAAAGTTTTAAACTTAATATTTTTTTTTAGTTTTTAAATTTTATTGTTTTTTTTTTATTTATTAATTTAATTAATTTATTTTACTTATTACTTTCTTTATTTAATTTTTAGCTGTCATTTAAAAATAAGATTCTTTCTTTAATTTTGTTCAACAAAGATAAAAAGATAATAATATTTTGCCAATTAATGTTTAGAAATGTATTTTATTTATTTCTTGTTTTTTAATTGAATTTGTTTTTCTTTAATTTCTTTTATTTTTATATTTTATTGAAAGAGAAATATATTAGTTTTATTTCATTTAATTTTAAGGGCATTTTTTTATAAATTTAATTTTTTCTTAACTTATAGATTTTGTTTTAAAAATGAAAATATTTTTGGTAGTTTTATTTCATTTAATTTTAATGATTTTCTTTATAAATTTATTTTTTTTCTTTAGTTTTAGATTTTGTTTTAAAAATATTTTTTTTTTATATTTAATTAAGTTTTAAGTACCATTTTCTTCTTTCTTGTTTTTTTTTTTATTTTTCTAATTTAGGTTTTATTAATTTGAGCTATATACATTGAGTTACAAATTTTATTTTTTCTTAATTTTTAGATTTTGTTTTAAAAATATAAGTCTTTTTTAATTTGTTCTTTTCTAATCTAGATTTTATTGTTTTGAAAAGAAAAAAAATTAATTTTTTTAATTTAATTTAATCTTTAGAGAATATTTTTATTCGTTTTAATTTTATTTATTTTTCTTGTTTTTATTAGTTTTTAATGTTTTAAAAAGAAAAAAATAAATATATTTTTAATTAAATTATGATTATGTTTTTAAATTTATTGCTAAAAGGCGAATGGCATAACGCTAGGACCTCCTCGTTAGCAGATCTTTCAAGTAGTTTTTCGACAGTAAAGAGCTTTCAAGATAGGTAGTTTCCAGAATTTTGTCTTTCGAAAGACTGTGGTGTGTTGAAAGACGGTTGCCAGAATTGCCGTGTAAGTAATAGCCGCTTATGTGTGTGTGTTTGCCTTAAAGTGTTAATATGTACACACATATTTTGTTGTCCCACTGATAATTTCTCTGAAAAATTGTTTTATTAATAGTTGGCCAATTTATGCCTTTGTATGTAAAAAAAATACCCTCATTGCCGCCCCTTATATCGGTTTACCCCCTGTAAAATAATTATATGCTTCCATACACACTAACAAATATTTAGTCCACATTTAACTATGGAAAATTAACTCACATACGGCAGTTAACTCTCAAATTTTGTTAACTGCCGAATTAGAGTAAACTGTACTGTCCACTATGAAAATGGCTCTAAGTTTTATAAATGTGTCCCATATTTTTTAGTACATATGTACATTGCCACTGTACAAATGACCAATGCATACTTACATGCATAAGTAGTAGCATTTATGGTAATATAACTAACAATAATCTAAACAATTGTAATACAAACATACATATTTGTACATTTACATGAATTTTCAATGATTTTTTTTTCTTTTGTTTTAATTTACATACAATTGTTTTATTAGAGGAGTGGTTTTACCCAGCAACTTGCTCCGATACCTGAGGTAAAAATTAATAGAAAGTACGAGTAAAAAAAAAAAACTACGAAATTTTACGTTGCACTTATTTGAAAAATTTACTTTGTTTAAATATCCTTCTGTTGCTTTCTAAATTCCTGTCTAGCATTTCAAAATTTGTTCTGCAAAAAATTTGTTATACAAATTCTATACTAATTAGTAGATATTCTAGAATGATTGGTTTTATTCGACTATGCATTGGATTCCTTTTATTCTACATTCGAAATTCTAATTCGTTGTTGTGTGAATTTATTGTAGTGAAAAATTGCTATGAATTCTAAATTTAATTAAATATAATATTTTGATTTAAAGTTTTGCAGTTTCTGTTCTTAATTGCTTATTGGCTACTTATCTAGGTATTCAGTTTATTTTATTTATACATTTCTAATCGAAAAATAAGTTTTAAAATTAACAAAAGAACTCAACAGCTCAAATTCAATCGAATTCCTGATTTTACACTCACAAAGCTATCAACATTCTTACTCTTACAATTAATTTACTCTAACATTATAATCAATATGCATGTGTCCTTCTCATATGTACATATGGGGAGTAGGCATATGACTTTTTTTTAATAAAATATATCTATGAAAAGAGGGTGTGAAATGATGGAAATACCAACAAAAATAATATTTTTGTCGAAATCTGTTACGCAAATAACTTGGAGAAAGAAAAAAAATGTATATCCATATATGTATGTAAGTATACAAATCAATTTTTGTGCGCAATCGTAATCGACATTACATTGGATTAGTCCAAAAAAAAGTTAAGTCGGAATTTTAATGCTCTTACCCGCTAGGGTTGTTCTATACCGAAAAAAATACATGTAAATTTTTTTTTTTTTGAGATCAGAAAATATTTAGAGGTCACTCAAAGCGCACAAATTTTTTCATGTATCTTATATGGAAAAATTAAAAATTTTCCGTAGATATGGTACAAAATTTTTGAAACCTCTGTTTTTCTTCAGGAGACTTCCAGTAACAATATCCAATTATTTATTTAATCATTTTATTTATAGGTGGTTAGTATTCCGAAATGGTAAAATAAAAAATCGTGTATTATTATGAGCGATTTTAGCGACCTCTAAATACTTTTTGATTTCGAAATAAAAATAATAGAGGTTTTTTCGATATAGGATATAGGATTTTTTCCTAGCGAATGAGAATTTTAAAATTCGGACTTTACTCTTTCGCATGTGTTTTTGAACCACCCTAATGTACGAACATGTGTATGTTTTTCAGAACAAAATTTTTCTTTCTTGGAGTGCCCTGCACCAAATTTTTAAAAAAATTTTATTTTTGTTGGTATTCCTCATAATTTTTTTCAAAGCTACATATATTTAATTAAAAAGTCATATGCCTAATATACAAAGAACTTAATTTTAAAAACGTGTGTACAGGCAATTGGTTTTGTTGTTGTTGTCGTAATTGTAGTAGTATATTTAAGCGTATCAAAAGGATGGCATTTATATATATTAGGGTGATCCAAAAAGAAAGTAAAGTTGTAATTTTAATTTTAATTCCTGTTTTTTTATTTCAAAATCAAAAAAATATGTATAGACCGCTCAAAGCGCTCAAAGTTTTCCATGTATTTTATATGGAGAAAAAAAACTTTTGGTAGCAATGGTGTGGGATCCTTAAAAATTTATACTTTTCTACCTGAAACCTCGATTTCCCTTTTGGACAAACATAATAATTCAGGTGGCGTGGGACTGGATATTCAGTTCCGGTCACGACATCCAAATTTTAGGACCCGCACCCGCCCATCCTGGCGTTTTTCAGAATCATACCAGTGATCCCAGGGGTCCCACAATCTATCACTTTCTCAAGGCTTGCAAATTGATTTTAAATAATAAATCTACTTATACATCTTTTTTCTCGAATATTCTAATTTCGCCACATTGCAAGATCTGGCGTCTCCCGTTATTCTGTTTCATGCAATATTTTTGAGGAAGATTTTCTGAAGTTGCAGGTTTTATAGGGAGTGTCGGGAAAGGAATTTTGTCCTGTGCCGCCAGCAAATTTTAAAAAAACATTTCTGATACCGCACATAACGATTATCTTCAAATCAGTATCGTGGGTCCCTAATATCATGCGCCTATCTCTACTTTCCATTACGTATTTCAGGTGAAAGCTTAATTAGTTCGTTTTTTGAATTTTTGTAATTTATTTACGCCTCCTCTTTTTCGTTCGACTTCCACTTCAGCAATTCCGAAAGTCATACCTACAAATAACTTTTATTTCTTTTGAATTTTATAAGCATTGTCTTAGTTTATGTGTAACTAAGAATATATTTATGTACATAATTGGGTATATTAAAATATCGGTGTCTAAATATTTATGTTATTTCCTGTCGAATGGCAACACTTAAAATTGTCTTACTATCTAAAATAAAAACTTAATTCAATATTATTTAAATATATTAGCTAACAATCAATTCAATGCTTTCGCCTCTATTTCTTCTAGCCGGCTGGACAACAGCATCAAACGCTGATCATTGAGGAATTCGAACCGGATGTTTTCAGGCAGCTGATAGAGTACATACACACCGGTTGTGTAACACTGCAACCAAGAACACTTTTAGGTTTGTTAAAGATATTTTTTTGTCTGTAATGGTAGACTTTCTTATGATTAAAATCTCTAGGGGGGTTTCTATTATACCATGATCCCAAATCACAAACTATTCTGAATTCTGCACACTATACTGAATTCTGCACAAGCTGGAAGAAAGCAAACGCACAGGAAACAGCAGAATACCTTCTTCGCAGATATCTAACTTTGACAAGGTAGAGGAATACAATGCTAGTACTTAGGTTTAACCCTCTCAGGACCATAATCCTGTTGTTTAAAGAACTCTTGTTTTGAAAAATGTTATTCGTCGAAGGCTAAATAAAAAAGTCGCATTTTAAAAAAATAATTCACAGTAAATAAATATTTTTTTTTCTAAAAATTTACATTAATCTTAACTAGAGTTATAGCTGCTATTTCGGAGATCATCACTTCTTCCATTAGACTTCTTCAACCGCCGTCAATAAAATTGTTGAATATTTTTTGGTTTTTTTCTTAATTTTTTCCCCAATCAAATTTTTCACAATATTTTTTCGTCCCCAAAGAATTAAATTTGTGTCCACAAATAGCTTTTTTCTTTCATAGCTTTCATTATTTTGTTATTTTCTTTTTTTGATAAAAATCTTAAAACAATTATTTTCTCCCAAAGATTGTTTCCTAAAGACTAGTTATTTCCCTTACATTTTTATCCTAAGAAACTTTTATTATTTTTTTAATCTCATTAGCAAAAATAATTTTTGCTGACATAAATTTAGCGCAAAAAAATTATTTATATTTTCTTTAATCTTATGACCAAAAATGATTTTTCCTGCCATAAATTTAGCGTAAAAAATTTTTAGATAAAACAAAATTGTTAGGGTTCGTGTTTTTTTGTTTTATTTTCCTTCCCCAAAAGTTTTTTCCCTAGGAAAAAATCCTGTTTTGATTTTTATTATATATATTTTTTTGAATTTCTTGATAAAAATAGCTTGATGAGGCATATTCTAAAAATATTAAATACTATTGAAAACTCACATAGTATCCATATGAGTGGAAGAACTTTTAGGGAAATATGTATCCCTTGGTCCTAAACGGGTTAAATTGTTGCTTCCAAAGCATACAAAAGATGCTGGATTTTATCAACCACGCTGGTTGGTTTTAAAATAGTTATACGGGGTTTATGGTTGCGATATGCGAATTTTGAGAATCAATCAGTAGGAAGTTTCCCTCTAATGGTACCAGATATGAATTACCACTACAGAACCTGTCATCCATCACTTGGGAAATACAAAGAACCAAACAACCCAGACACCTGAACCAACATGATATGAACAAAAGTAATTTGCAGTCTTAGCTAGAGCCTAAATAGGTGGTCTAGTTTTCTCCTACTTTTGTATACTCAGAGAATACGTTTAATGACAAGTCGATATTCGCATATTTTCTTCACCGAATATTCCACTTACAACGCAAGGTCTTTATAATTTCCAATTTTTCTTTAGGTGTCATGAACGCGGCAGACTACTACGGTTTGGAGGAGTTGCGTCGCGCTTGTGCTGGTTTTGTGCAGTGTTGCATTAACGTGGATACTGTGTGCGCTTTGCTTGCCTCCGCAGAGCGCTACATACAATACAAGTGCACTAAGAGCTTGGTACAAAAAGTGCTGGAATTTGTAGACGAGCATGGCAATGAAGTACTCAATTTGGGCAGCTTTACTTTATTGCCACAGCACGTGGTGCGCCTCATTTTGGCACGTGAGGAGTTGCGCGCTGATGAGTTTACCAAGTTTCAGGCGGCGCTGATGTGGAGTAAGAAGTATTTTGACAACAATCCGGTGAGTATGAAATATTATTTTGTCACTGTATTTTGTACACAAAAAGATGAATGCTTTACCCCAACAGAACATTGATATGAAAGAGATTTTGGGCAACTTTCTGGAGTACATTCAGTTTCATAAGATACCCGCGAATGTACTGATGCGTGAGATCCATCCACTGGGTTTGGTACCATATTCGATCATCATGAACGCTTTGGCCTATCAGGTAAGCTCGTGCTAAACTTATGCTCACTTTGAGCATTTCGTTTTACTGATATGTTTTTTCATGCAATATTTGATTACTAAAAAAATTAATGTGTTAAACGGCATTGGCTCACTTCCTGAACGCCCAATTGACGATTTGGGCGGCGTGTGTGCTGTTGTCGTTCCACTCCCCTTTTGTCCCCCCTTTATGTCTGATTCTAACCTTTGCAGGCAGACCCAGAAAGCATCGACCCCGGAAAGCTGTCTCCCAACTCTAGTCGAGTGAGGCGCGCACGCCAAAATCAAGGCAGATCGATGTCCGTACAGAGTTCCTTGGACCCCTACGGTTCGAATACAACATTAAGTTCAAGCGGCAGCAGCGATCCCACCAGCGGCCCGCACAATAGCAACTAACATAAGTTGAACGGTCCCTCCTCCTCCACCCACCACTCATCCTCGCATGGCCGCCATAAGCACCACCAATCATTACCAAAAATTCGCAAAGCCAAATCTCAGAGTTTCCGCACCCGACGCAGTCCATCAGACCGCCGTAGCCCAAATGCCGCACCAATATTTGGCCAAGCGGCCAATCTTACACTGAACACCGCCCAATTGGCGACCAACGATAAGAAACGTAGCCCACTTACACCAAAGAGTCCCATACTACCGCAACCTGAATCCAAGAGTCCTGGCAGTACTTCGCAGAAAACGCCGACCACATTATCCCGACAGGGTACGCTTCGTGCTTCGCATCGTCGCAAGAACAGCATGACTGGGTCCCTGGTATTGGTACAAGGACGTCGCAGTCCAGTGGGTTTTAATGATCGCAGTCCGCAAGGACGGCGCAGTCCATTGATTATGTCCAATGATCGACTCAAGTCACCCAATGAATTGCCAGTGCAGCCCATGTTTGGCATGGGAATGCATAGTCCGACAGCGCGCAGTCCCACAGGTGGTGCGCGCAGTCCGACCCTTAGCATGCACACTCAAGAACGCCGCTCGCCCATCGGTGCCGCAGCACCTACCGAGTTCGGTCAGCTGCGCCGCAGCCCCACTTCGACAGTACATGTACAGGGCGTACACTACGATGAAGCAGAGACGGAGGATGGCTTTGGAATTGCATCTGGTAGTGGCATTAAGCGTCCATCAATAAACCTCTTCACGCCCATCTACTTCAGCGGAGATAAGCGTAGTCCCATCACTGCTATGCCTATACCACCGATAACTGTCTCAAATCCAACGGAGAGTGGCAGGCTGGCGGAAAAAATTGCAGAGTCCAATGCCGCAGCTGAGGCGGCTCGTGAGTTGGAACGACAACGTGAAGAATCTGTTCGACAGGAGGCAGCCGCGGCTAAAGAATCAACACCGGAGAAAAAGGAGCGCACTAGCGTTATGAAGGAAATATTGGCTTTTGTGCGTAAACCATCAAAACACATTTCCACGCGCACGAATCGTTTTGCAAACGCATTCACACGCGCCGAGTCGGGTTCGTCATCGGGACCGCTCATTAGGCAGAGCACTTTCTCGGCCAGTCCGGCTGCTTCATCGACGGCGGCCAAGAGTGCGGTGGTGAAGCAGATGTCCGAAGTTGGATTCGAACCGAAGATGTCACTGAAATTCGCACACTACGCAAAAATGTCACTGAAACTACGTCGATCTGCCAACGACGATAAGGCGAAACAAGCAGCTGCCGCCAGCTCATCAAAGCGTGCCAGCGCAGACTCCAATGTCAGCGGAGGCGGCTTGGATCCACACGATGCGCAGGTAGGTCGCGCCGGTGGCAGTCTCGGCGGTGGTGCCGGTTCGGGACGTGCATCACCGCTCGGCGAACTGCCATTCGAGTTGGCGAATGTGCATTTCGAGAAGGTTGGTGAATCATATATCAAGCACGAGAAGATACACGAAGAGGAGTATGTGGACGAAGCCGGCACCACAACCGACACTGTAGTCACCAGCTTCGTTGAGGAGATCACAAATTCGCTTAAAGTAGTCTCGTTGTCAAATGAGAACGCACAAATAACACATCATTTCCAGCGTCGTTCTGAAAGTCGTGAGCCCATTGAGCCACGCATAAGCGAAGAACGGGAATCCGACTCGAATGATATCGTCATTCCAGAGGATTTCCGTGCTGAGCTAACCGAAATTTTGAAAGCCTATGCACCAGAACCAATCTACGTGAATTTGCAAGTGTTGCGCCGTGAAACCGATGAGGCTGAGGCTGCCGCAGCGCAGGCGCTCGCCAAAGCAGCAGAAACTAGTCTAACTGCTGAAAAGTCACCATTGCAATGTCCGATTATTGAATTTGAGCCGCCTTCACGGCGTTCTTCCTTCGATCCACCACGCTCTCCATTTCTAGATAATTTGCGTAGCCCCGGTGCCGACACCGATAATGACTTGATCAACTTGCAGCGTTTAGACTCAGGCGGCGATAGTTTCGAAATGGTTGAGGGAGACCGCAAATCAAGTCGCGCTGAGTCAAGTTTCGACTGCCCCTATTCCTCGCGCGACACAAGCTTCGATATTTCGCGCTACCAATCCACTAGTTATGAAGATCAAACTTCGAGCTTCGAAATTGTCGACATGGACGACAAAAAGAAGTCCAATATCGACCTGCGCAAGTCCTCCATAGAACTAGTGGACGCGGAGACATTTCAGCGCTCTGGCTATTCGTGCGGACGCAAATCCTCGCTAGAGACACATTTTGACTATACACCCTCCGATGCGAGTGGCATGACGCCTGCACGTTCCCCAAATTTCCCGATGAATAAGAAGCAAAAACCCGAAACTTTACGTGCGTTGCGCATCTCACCCTTCAGTGCCTTCTCGCGTGCACGCAGCCCACTCTCCAATCAGACCTCCTCGAATTATAGCTCGCGTGACAGTTATGATTCAAGTTCCTCCTATCCGCACTCCGCGCCCAATCACCATGAGCCGCAGCGTAGTCCCTTCGCCGATCCGACGAAGAAACATTTTCCGCTCACTATCAAGCAACGCGAAGAGGAAGTGAAAACTTTTCTCTGCACTGATCAGCGTTGCGCTTCGATTTTTGAGCCACGCCCTAGTTCGGTGTTGACGCAACAGCTCTCGACCGGTTCGATGTCCACACCGTCGGGTTATGGCAATGGTACACCCTGCGCGGTGGTGAGTAGCACGGTGGGCGGTTTCTCAAGCGGTAGTGAATTTGAGCCGCCTTCGCCGCGTCGGGCAGCGAGCGCTTCACCCAAACATACTTTTACTTTTCGCATTGTTATGAAAAAAGTCGATAGTTCGCCGGAAGCTTTGTGTCCTGAACGACATCGTAGTCGCATATTTGATCGATATAGACGTAGGGATAGTAGGCGCAAGAGAATACATGATGCAGGGAAGAGTTTCTAAAGGGAAGCGTTGGTGAGCTGACGAGTTGAGAATCTGTGAAGGCGCGAGAAATGAAGTTTATACAAGTAGTGAGGAAAGTTTTGGCTCTAACATACGAGTAGATTAGACAAAAAAAAAAGAAAAATTAGAAGGAAACTAGTAGCGGCAGGAAGGCAAATGGACATTTCAAGAGGATTCCATTTCTGAGTAACTAAATAGGTACTCCAGGGAGAGGTAAGAAAAAGGAATGAAGCAGAGAACGAAAAAGTGGCAAATCAAATGAAAAGTAGAAAATTTGAATAGTAAAATACAAGAGATGCAAATAAAGAGAGATAGAGAAAGGTAAAGTATGAAATAAAAATAAAGAGAAAAGAAAATAGGAAAGAAATATTGGAGAGAACTCAGAAAGAACTATCGAGACCGAAAAGGCAAATAGAGAGCGTTCAAACGAGTAACATTATGAAAAGGAGAGAGCCAAGAGAAAGAAAAAGGACGAAAATTGGAAAGCCAAAAAGTAAAAGGAATAGAAAGAAAAATATATGGTCAGAGAAAATTAAGACAAAGACATAACGCATAAACAGAAAAACATAATAATGCAAGGGATAAGAAAAGAATATGATGAAAATAGAAGGAGTAGTAAAATAAAGTGGCAAGAAAGAAGAAAATGAAAGGGAGAGCAAAAGAGATAACTGAAAGAATGGATACAGAAAAAAATAGAAACAAAATTGAGATAAAAAAGCATCAGACAAAGCAAAAAGGTCAGAAAGGAAAATAGGGATAGAAAAATAAGAAAGGAAATGGGAATGAAAAAAGGAAAAGAGAAGAAATAAGACAAACTGAAATACATAAAAAGGAAAGGATAAGAGCAGAATATGATAAAAAGAAAATCGGTAGTAAGAGGAAATACGAGGGAAAGGAAATCAAACGAAAGGAAAGAACAAAAAATAAAATAAAAAATAAATGAAAAAAAAAATAAAAGGTTAGGAAATGAAATGAAAGGCAAGGAAAGGAAAGGAAATGTATGGAAAGGAGAGGAGAGGAAAAGAAATGCATAAAGGTAGGAGAAAAGGCGATAGGAATAGAGATAGAAACAAGTGAGAAAGCTACAAAAAAAAGAAATAACCAAGTAAAACTACCTAAATTAAGATTGAAAAGGGAAAGAGACAGAAACTATCGATGAGAAAGAGTGATAAAGAAAAAGCGTAACAGAAAAAGGCAAAATATGGCGGGAAGAGAGAGAGGAATAGAGGAAGAGGAAATAATAGGACACTAAAGAAAGTTACAAAGCTGGAAAAAATTTCGGGATGTAAAATTCAATATACTGTCCTAGATTGCGAGCGAGCGTGAAAATAAAGCATTTGAGAATGACCATTAGTGAAGCGCCGGTATTGCCATACAAGCACAGGGATAAAATTACGTACATAAAATAGTAGAATGTTTGTTTTTAGAAGCAACGCTGCAACTGAATTCTAAATTTAAAACTCAGAATGTAGTGTACATATAAATTAACTAGCAGAAATATACTCAAAAAATGTTAACTAGTTATATGATGGCAAAGAGAGAAAGCTACAATTATTTATCTACTCCTGAGCGAGTACGTACATACATATGTATGTATATTCTTACGCTGGGAAAACAAAGATGAAATGGTAAACAGAATGTTGGAGACCTAAAACACTGCAGACACAAAAGTGAAACCGTTTGAAATAATAAATAGTTAGTTGAATAAAAACGTTTTAAAAGAAAATACATACATATGTACTGAGTTTGCCAAAGTATTTTGAGTAAGTATTTATGTGTAAATATTTTTTTTAATAGTAAGATTTTTCGAAATTTTTTCAATCTCGTTCATCACGTATGTATAGTTCGTTTTTAGTGGCGTATGGTAAACTTTATTATATATACAGATGTACATATACAGCAATTTACAAAAATTCAAAGAAAAAGGAAAATACTTAATTAAAAAAATTCAAATGAAATCAACCCACTGTTTCAACCCAATCTTATGAACACAAACGTTATGTGAGAAATAACGAACAATAATCTTCACAAAAATGCAATGTATAAAGTTTAACGGTGCAACACTTGCAACGCAACAGCAATCTAAGAACTATATTTACTATAAATATAAAAATTGCCAACCCATTTACGCATTTCATATAGTTAGTATAGACACATATAAATACATACACATGTATATATTAGATATGAAATAAATTGTTAAAAATAATAGATTTTTTTCACAAAATCTCAAATGCATATATGTATTAACTAAAAATAAAAACAGCCAATTATTAAAGAAAAATAAATAAATTTTTTTCCTCACTTAAATAGAAATACCGTTATAAAAATAAAAACACATATTGAAAAACATGAGCAAAAGAAGTAAAAAATATTTTCAAATTTAAATATTTACAATCAAATAATACAAGATTTTTTCAATAGTCATTAGCATTCCTTTGCACCTACTTAAACATGTGCAAATGCTTGTATATTTACTAACATTCCCAAGTACTCGTTAAAAAAAATGTAATAAATACATAACTTTGGACAATCTTAATGTTGCGTGTATTTGAAATCAGATCAAACAAAATATTTACATACAAAGAAAATTTAAATAAAATTCAAAATATTTACATCCTGTTTACCCCAATATACATGAAATGGTTCTGGTTCTTAGGCTGTTTCAAACTATTTAAAAATAAATGCAAGAAATTATAAAATAAATGAAATACGAAAAGCAAAAAAATAGTTGTTACGAGCACTTATCCGCATACATAGTCGATTCATATACATTCATACATAAATACCGTTAACCATACGAAAAGATTTAAATATTAATAAAATTTACACTCACGTTACGCTTAAAAAAAGTTGACCCATAAAATGGCTGTATTACGGTAATTTCACCAAAGGTAACTAGTAGTTCATATAACAAAATACAAAAGTCCTTAATAAAACATACAATTTTATAAAGCTTACTGCGGCCAATTTCTTTTAAATTTTCATATACGGATAAGCTTCAAAGTTGAAAACGAGACAAGCAGTGAAGAGCTTTCGCTCGGCTTTAATAATTAAATTCAGAGCAATTTTCGCGAAATTACATTAAGTGTTTAATTAAATTTGATACGGAATTTTTGTTTTATCTTAAATTACTGTTAAAGTTGATCACCAAACAATCTGACAAATTGTAAGTTGAAATCGAAAAAAAAAAATCAATAATTCAAAAGCTCTCATTAAGCTACTTATACGAGCTTTGGTAGTTTTATTTACATAAGCTTTCACAAAACTCTTTTCAAAACTGAAAACAAAAATACTCATTTTTGGAAAATTTGAGAAAATTTTATTTCAATTAGCAGCTTCTGCATACATTTTTACAAAAAACAAATTAAGTTGTATAGATGGAGTTCATAAATTACTCACAAATCCAAAAAGCTTGCAAAGGACCAGCTTTTACAAGTTTTCACAAAGTTATTTTTAGGAGATTTAAATCGTTTTTAAAAAAGCTTTAAAAAATTTTTTAAAAATCAGGTAAAACATTAATCTATTGGTGCAAGTAAGTAATTTGCAAATTCAAAGCTTTTTACAAAGCACAATTCGAAAGCTGCGGTATATTTATTCATAGCAGCTTTCGCAAAATCATTTTTAAGGCATAATAATTCATACTAAGAAGCTTTCAAACAACGGTTTTAAAAAATTTGGCTTTTAGCAGCTCAGTAAATGTTTAATGTATGCTACAGTATTTGTATTTTAAGAAGCTTTTAAAAAGTCTCGAAAACAATTGAGAGCATAGAAAGCGTTTGCCCTATGCTCGTTTGTGCAAAATGCATAGAATGTTTAAAAAAGCTCTGCATGCAGCAAGGCGTTGCCCATAACCGCAGCAAAAGCGTGAAAATTTTATTTTAGGCACTCAAAATATTTTTTGACGATGCGAAAAACCAAAAGGTTTTCAGAAGCTTTCGGAAATCTTAAACCTAACTACAGTTCCACGTGTTGTTACAAAAATTTGGAATTTTAAGAAGTAAAGTTTTAAAAACAGTCCAGGGCAGAGAGAGCTTGCTCTATGCTCGTCAATGCAAAATGCGTAGAAAGAAATAGTATCTAACCTTAAAAAAGCTCTGTTCGAGTTTCACTATTTCTATGCCAAGAGAATAGTTATGATACTAAATTCCGAAAGAAGCTTTCATTATTTTTCGGCTTTCTAAAGATTTAAAATATTCTAGAATAATTTGCATATCAAACGGCCATTTTTTGTAGTCAATAAAATTTATGTACATCACATCCGCATTACGCTACTAACTCCTTTCAAGACATACCTATCAGTTTTACTCTATTTCAGTTCTTGAACAAAGCACAACATCCTACACTAACAGCAAGAATTTAAACGCTTGAAAGCTTTCACACACGCAATGAAAAAACATATTAAAAACAGCTATTTGCAAAGGTAAAAGAGCTTAAAGCAAAAAACATCACAAATTCAAATTATACTGTAAAATATCAGTCAGATTTTTTCTAGTTTTAAGTGCAGTTAAATAGCGAATTACTTTCGTTACACCAAATCACATGTTTTATGCAAGCAAGTAGCCTGAGACCTGCGGTAGTATACTTTTGGGAGTGATGCGTACAAGCTTAGAGTTTGGTAAATGAGCTTTGTATTTATTGATTTATATGATTTGCAAATAGACGCTATTGGAAAAATTGCTGGAATGCATTAGAAAGTGCTTTTTAAAATTTGCTTTTTGTTTTTTTTTACGATTTTTATTTGTAGTGTGCTTTAAGTGACTTTGTTGTAATTTAGATAATCTTAAAAAAAAATATGTAACATTTAATTTTTAATATAAAAAAAAATTATAAAATAAAATAAAATAAAATACGACATTAAAACAAAATAAAATTAAGTTAAATTAAAGTAAAGAAAATAAAATAAACTAACATAATATAATAAAGTAAAATAAAAATAAAATAAAATAAAATAAAATAAAATAAAATAAAATAAAATAAAATAA